CCCCCCCACCCTCCCCCCCCCATCCTGGCTTAAGCCCGATTCGTCCAACCAATCCACCCCTGGCTTTCTCACGCCCTGCCGTGTTTTCAATCTAATCTCTCTCCTCACACCTTACCTTGTTTTCCCCCCCTGGCACCCTCGCACCCTTTTCTGCTGTTCAAGTGCACCGACGACTATCGACCACCCAGATCCCCCCACCCTCCTCCTCATCCAGCACTCTCCCCCTCCCTTGTTTCTTCAAGGGTACCGTCGACTACCGACCACCCAGGTCCCTCCACCCATACTCACCCTCTTTTTCACCCCACCCTCTGGCTAAGACCCCCCTGGCCCCTTCTCGGCCTCCGGGCATCCAGACTCACCTCTTCTGCCCCCGCCCCCAACCCCTGCTCCCAATCTACCATCTTTTATGATTGTGCCTAAATCCGTTTACCCCGATCCCTTATTCAGATGTCTTACCCCCACACTCTCCTGATCCCGGATCAAGCAGCCTCCTTCAACCCAAACATCTGTTCGTCGATCCTCCGCGCCCAAAGACAACAGTCCTCCCCCCTACTCCCAACCCTTACTCCCAATCTATCATCATATCTAGCCCCGCCCAACTCTGGCCCCCATTTCATCGGATATTCGCCCCCCCGCAGTCGCCCCCCAATCCTGGCTTAAGCCCGATTCGTCCAACCAATTCACCCCTGGCTTTCTCACGCCCTACCGTGTTTTCAATGTAATCTCTCTCCTCGCGCATTACCTTGTTTCCCCCCCTGGCACCCTTGCACCCTTTTCTGCTGTTCAAGTGAACCGACGACTACTGACCACCCAGATCCCCCCACCCTCCTCCTCATACCGGCATTGCGATCCAGCACTTTCCCCCTCCCTTGTTTCTTCAAGGGTACCGTCGACTACCGACCACCCAGATCCCTCCACCCTCCTCATCGTACCTGCTGCCTTTTTTTTTTTTTTTTTTTTTTTTCCCACCACTAAATCGATTCTCTCCCCGAGTCCAAATTCCCTCCCCAATCACATACCCTGTGCAAGGAAGATGAGCAATAGCGAACTTCAGCAATCAAACAGCAGCATACATATGAGTCCAGATAGTCGTGACCTCGAACCAACAGCAGAATTGCATCACAAGTTTCACCAAATAAGAACACACCAAGAGTTCATAATTGACAATCCTGAAATAGTCCCATCATCATCATCAACGAAGAACCAAAGTTGATATCCTATCTGGTGCTCGGCGCCCAGACTACATATGGCAGATCCTATCTAGCCTATACTACAATGCCGAAGTTCACGACAACAGCTCTCCCGAAGTACGAGCAGATAGCGGCCAATGCCGCACGCTTCCAGCACCTGGTATGTCTCTCGCCTCACTCACAACCTCGTTCCCCAACACACAGATGCCACTTGCACCCAAGGACCACCCTGCGCCACACCCTGCTTACAGCAGCGTAGCTCGGCTATGGCTGCCTGCTCCTTCCTGCTCGCTCGTGAGCGCGTGAGTGCCAGCGAGCTTCAGCGCAGCAGCGCTTGCGCAGCATGCAGCCAGCACCCGAATGCCGAATGTGGAGGCAGGCCCTTTGCTATATCGAAGTGGCCTGCCTGCGTTCAGTCCCAGGAAGCTTCCAGTAGGCCCCAGTAGCCTGAGGCCCAGCACGAATGAAAACAGGCCTTGGGCCTGAGGTGGTTGCATGTACCCAACTGCCTTTGGCCTGTGTTTGGCCCAGTACCCGTATCCAGCCCAGGGCCTGCTTTCCATACATTCACACAGGCGGCCCAGGGCCTGGGTTCTCTCAACCAACTGGCGCTGCGCCACTGCCTGAATTTCCTTGAGTTGCGTGGTGACCGAAATAGGGGCCCTCAGGCCGTCGTTGTGCCTGCCTTCACTTAGGGCGGCCGACGTGATACTTGGCAAGGCCAAAAAGGGGCTCATAGGGGCATAAGCCTCGCATTCCCTCCTCCATAACTTCGCTAGTCCTCTGAGAAGTTCAGTCTTCGATGATCTGGCGCTTTCCCTTCTGCAGAGTTTTCTCATATTGAGCTACGATCTGAGGAGCGGTCTGCATGAGTTCCTCCCTAGTGAACCAGCGGTCCTCCTTTGGATCCAGATGATGTCGGAACCGAACTCGGTACTGCAGTTTCGGTTTCGGAGGACGTCCCATGCCTGTCGGTCTTGGAACGGGCAGCTCCCTGTGGTCCACTATGTCGTCTATGTCCACCTCTCCATCCATGGTTGGGGGCAGCATTGAGTAGGAAACTGATCTGTTTCCTTGAAAGGTGCAAGCTTGGAGGCGTGAAAGACAGGGTAAGTGCGTAAGTGACCTGGGATGCGAATAACATAAGACGGGCCATCCGGTTCATTCCCCACTACATCCAATACCTCCCATGGTCCAAAGTACTGTGGCATGAGCTTGCGGGAGATCCCGTGCTCCTGTCCCAGTTCTGAGGACTTGACCCAAACTCTCTCTCCCACCTGAAACGTGGATGGGCGGCGGTGTTTGTTCTCAGACTCTATCATCGCCGCGTGTGCCTTGTGCATCTGTTCAACAGCCTGCTGCATCAGCTGCTCATATCGATAAGCAAACTCTAGAGTCCCAGGTGCAGCATTCGGCTGATTGTCAGGTAGTAGAAAGTCTAAAGGCAGTCAGGGTCTGAAGCTCAATAGCAAGTTGTTAGGACTGACTCCGGTTGCGCTGTGCACAACATTATTGTACAAACTTGCGATGAGAGCAAGTTTCTCATCCCAATGTACCTGATTTGGCTTGATGTAATGCCTCAGCAGGTGTTGTACAGCGCGGTTCATTTGTACAGCCTGCCCGTTTGCCTCGGGATGATTGCCTGATGTCATCTGCAGTTGCGTGCCTTGCTCTGCAGCTGCAGCTTTCCACAAGTCACTGGTAAATCACACGTCCCAGTCGCTAACGATAGACTTTGGCAATCCAAAATCTCTAACTCAATTCTCTTTAAACATTTTAATCACATACTCCGTCTTAGCTGTTGTCGGCATTGCAACTAACCTAGCAAACGTACTAAACCTATCCACAATGACGTAGATGTAACGCATTCCACTCTTGCTGGTAACCAGCGTATCCATGAAGTCCATGGACAGGCTCTCACCAGGCCTTTCCGGAATTGGAAGGGGCTTCAGGAGCCCAAGAGGAGCCTGAGTACGTGGCTTGTCCCTCTGACAGACCTGACAAGTCTCCACGTACAACTTTGCATCTCTCATCAATGTGGGCCACCAGAACCGCTGCAGCAGATTAGCCATAGTCTTCTTGAACCCAAAATGTCATGTGGCATCATGACATTCGCCTAGAAATAAACTACACAAAGACTCCCTATTAGGTACACACAAACGTTTATTCCCTGCCTTCTCAAGGAACAGCAGGCCGTTGACCACCTCAAACTCGGCAGAAGTCCCTTTGTCCTTCGCCTCGAGTCTGCGTATGATCTCGACCATAAACGGGTCCTCGCGATAGGCTTCCACCAAAGACTGAGTAACATTGTCCGCAAGATTGAACTCAGTAATCAGCGCACCTGAGAAATCAGGTCTACGCGACAAGGCGTCAACAACCTTGTTGTACTCGCCCTTGATGTACTGGGGCTCGAAGTCATATTGCTCAATGACTTCGATCCAACGCTTGATAGCGTCAGAGAGTACCGGTTGAGTTCTCATCCATCTCAGGGTCTGATGATCAGTCCTGAGGATGAAGAACCTCCCAAGGAGGTAGTGCCTCCAATGGGTCAGAGCCTTGTAAACTGCATAGAGTTCCTTCTCATAAGACTTAGCCAACTTCTGAGACGGCATTTTCTTGGACATGTACTCAACTAGCCTCAACTTTTCCCTCTCCTGTTGTGCAAGTACGGCGCCTATGCCATATTGGCTAGCATCCGTAGTTACTATAAATGGCTTTTCAGGATCAGGAAGTTTCAAGACTTCGTAGTGCGTCAACGCATGCTTCAGATGTTTGAAAGCAGCCTCACATCTCTCAGTCCACTCCCATGGGGTGTCAAGGCGGGTCAGATCAGTCAAAGGGGCGGCAACTATGCTTTAGTTCTTCATGAAATTGCGATAGTAGCCCGTCATCCCTAAGAAAGATTTCATCTCAGTCACAGACCGAGGACACAGCCAATCACGAATGCTGGCCACCTTCGTGTCATCGGGCTTCAACCCTTCCGCGGACATCTCATGACCCAAGTACAAGACACGGGTGCGACCAAACTCGCACTTCTCACTGTTGATCTTGAACTTGTGCTGCCGCAGGAGACTAAGGACTTTGTCCAAATGCGCAACGTGCTCCTCGACAGTCTTACTAAAAATAAGTATGTCATCGAGGTACACGATGACAAACTTATCCAAGTAGTCATGAAAGATCCAATTCATAGCGTGCTGAAAGGTGCCAGGAGCATTGCAAAGACCGAAAGGCATCACCACAAACTCGTACAGACCGTACCTGGTCTGAAAAGCGGTTTTGTGTTGATCCTCGGGCCGGATTGCAATCTGATGGTACCCGGACTTCAGATCCATCTTACTGAAGTACCGACACCCTTGCACTCTATCAAGCAAATCGTCGATGCGCGGTAGGGGCTCTCTGTTCTTGACAGTGATGGCATTGAGGCCCCTATAGTGAATGCACATCCTAAGTGTTCCCTCCTTCTTCTTAGGTACAAATAGTACTGGAGACCCATAAGGAGAAACACTCGTCCGGATCCAACCCTTCTCTACGAGTTCCTTGAGTTGTCGGCGAAGCTCATCGAGCTCGCCTGGAGACATCCGATAGATCCTACCCTTCGGGATGCTAGACTCTGAGATAATCTTTATCGCGTGGACGACCTCCCTCTCTACAACCCCTGTCGGCTCTTCAAATAGATCAGGGTACTTGGCAACTACGCCCTCTATCTCCGGCGGCATTTTCACCGGCTCGCCTGCAGCAGAGACATAAACTAGATACATACCCTCTTCCTGATTTTGCTTATAATAATTATAGAACGCGGCCGCACACATGCATCCATGGGACTCAATCAGACTACTAGCTTTAAACTTACGTAATCTGGCGGTCCCTCCACCTGGCAAAGTGTGTTTGACCACTTTTCGGTCCCAGTCAAACTGGGGCTGTGCCACAGAGAGGTAGTACATACCTAACAACATGTCCATGGGGAGTTCATCGCTCTCTAGGAACGAGACGCGATGTCTCAATTCCCCTCCCACGTACGGGAAACAACACTCAACATCCTGGAGGTAGTCGTTGACTACCATGCGCTGTTTGTTGGCACAGGTCGACTCAGGCGCTGCACTTGCCCTTGTAAGTGCAGCCTCTCAACGCACACGCGACTGATAAAGTTCCTAGTCGAGCAAGTGTCATAATAGGCCCCGGCCTTGCGGCCGCCAATGACCACCTCGCTGACGAACATCTCACCCTTCGGGGCTTTGACTAGGGCCGTCCAAGAAGCTAGCGGGTCTGATCTAGACCACTCCTCCTCTAGCTCCTCTAAGGACTCGAACACATTCATCGAACAGAGGCTCGATGGGTCCGAATGTGTTTGCGGGACGACGCTGGAGTCAGTAGCTTGGGCCATCTCTCGAAATGGTGAGGGTGTCTCCACTACCTCGACCCTAGCAGGAACAACTACTATTCCTACTAGCCCGACGTGTTTCCCGGAGCAATGCCAGAAGTGCTAGCTACATTGCTACCAACGGGATGGGAGGATCCCAACGCCTGCCCCATCGTAGGCGGGATCTTATAGTTCACCTTCTTGTTGTGCCACTTGAATTGGTTATGGCCATATTGACCACACCGAATACAGGTCTGCCGTGTATACCGATTTGTTCACACGTCCTCTGTGAGACCCGCCTTCTCCCATGGGGGAGCGTTGGGGTCAACTTGACTCCTTGACCGGGAGCCTCCGCGGCGTCTACCGGTCGCCTTACCTTTTTGTGCTACGACAACGACAACTCCACCCCCTGAAGCTTCAATGCTGCCAGCCTCTGAACCTACTCCCTCCTGGAAGTTGCCGTCTAACTCGATGGTGGAACCATCGTTATCGACAAACATAATGCGGCCCTTCGCCTTCCAGTTGGGAGGCAGTGTTTTCTTCCTGCCGTCCGTTATGGGATTATGTCCATGCCCTATCTTCGCCTCAAGGTCTAGGGCCTTCTTGCTGAACGAGGGGAAGTTGTGAACATTGATGTTGGCCTCACCTGCCAACTGATTCCTGAGAGGCATAGGAAAGCATCTCAGGTAGGAGGTGAGTAAAACCTGGGGGTCATAGCGCACCCCAAGGACACAGATCAGACGCTCTACAGCTTCGGTGGCCTCCCTAACTGACTTGAACTGCCTCGTGTGCAGTGTCAGGATCGCATCAATGGCCTTTTGGGCCTCCTGAGGATCATGCCACCTTTCTTCCACCAACTTGAGGAAGTCACCCAATTATTGGGTGACCGCCCAAGCAAGAAAGTCATGACCGTATCCCTGCAACTGTACTAAACCACTCAACCATCTTGTTGCACTACCCTCCAGGTAAGATGCAGCCACAAGCACTTCCTCGTGTGGCAAGGTGAGTTTACACTTGACATAGCCCGGCACTGCCCTCAACCAAGTGTCGAGGTCTTCACCCCTCTTATCCCCTGTGAAGGGCTTAGGAGCGGCGATGGCCGTCTTTGGTACCCACTGAGTTTGTCCCGGTCCCTGCATCACTCGGGGCTGTGGACCCTGTGGCACAGGCTGCTGTGCTAGCTGTTGGGGTTGTGTACCCTGTGGCTATACAGGCTGCGAGACAGCAGGCTGCGTGGTAACCGCAACCTGCAATGGAGATTGGGTAAACATTGTCTGTACAGGAACCTGCAAACTAGATCCTGCTGATAACCCTCCTGATAGCGGCATGCCCAGGGAAACGATCGCGACCGATGATGGGGCTACGTATGGGGATACCCCAGTTACCGGTGGGACAAAAGGAGGAGGTTGTACAACGGGCCAGGCACCAGGCCCGGACATCGATGGCGCTGCTTGCGCTCGCCCAGCCAACAGGGCCAGACTTTGCTGAATGTCCTGAAGGATGGCCGTCTGATGGTCCTGCATTTCAACTGCATTTAGCACGACGGACCGTATGGTCCTCACATCGTCAGTTACGTGCGTCAGGTCCATCTCCTCTAACTCACTAACGTCCGCTTGTCTCCGCTGCATCCTGGCTCTTCTTCTAATCATCCTTTCTTTCTCCGCTTTTATCTCTCCTAAAGCCTTCTGTAGCTGTGCCTCCTGCAATGCTGCTTGTTGACGGGTTCGAGTTGTACGTCCAGATCCACTTCGGATCATCAATGGTGTCATCGAATACCCATCCGTCGTAGTCCTGGTCGTTAACGAACCAGATCCCTTTTGCCTCTTCTACTTCGACCAGCATGTTCTGTCTCAGCTTCTTTTCTTTCGAGTGCTCGGGGGATCTTGGGCACGCTGGATCAGTGCCCAGATGGCCTCTCTCTTTGCATCTGAAACAGATGGGGGCGTCTTTCGTTGAGACCGTAACCAATGACGTCTCCTCCCCGATGCAGAATTCCCATTCTTCTGGGAATTCAGGGTTCGTCTCCATGTTCACTTCCAATACGGCGGTGATGGAGTCGCAGTGTGGAGCGAGAAATTCTGGAGTGGGGAGTACCCATTTTAACACTCTGTTGTTTGGGTATTCCACCTCCAGTCGGTCTTTGATCAGCGGGTGTCCTCTGATCGGGATGTTGTCAAATTGGACCCAGAACTGGTCTCTCATCAGTCTCTGTTTTTGTGCAGTCGCCGGTGAGATCATGGCTTTCTGCGCTGTCTCCTGTTTCCAGCGGGACAGGGAGCACAGCGATCCGTTGCAGTTCAGGGTGGTGTGTTTGTTGATCCGATTTGATGCCTGATTGGCGTCTTTGAAGACCACCATCATCATGTTCTTGCTGAGAACTAAGATGGAGAATTTGTCAGTGCTGGACCTGATGTTTTCGTGGCCTTGCACTGTCCTTGTGATCCATCTCCGTTTCTCGATTTCAGGGAGGCGAGCCCCTGTATTGGAGAAGGTGAAGACTAGTCCGTGTTTTGCATACATGGCATTGGTGGACTCGATTTTTTCCTTCGGGTAGCACCAAACAGTGATTTCCTTTTCCTCTCCGTCCTGCTTAATTTTCTTTACTATTCTTTCCCCTTTAATTTGGGGTGATTCCAGCAGAAAACGGAGGGTTTCGTGGTCGACCAGTGCGCCATTCGACTGTGTATTTTTATCTGCATTCTTCGTGTTGGCTGCCACTACAGATGAGAAACAGCGCTGGAATGTGGCTGGGGCTGCTGTGGCCATCTTGGCCTGGGAGGGAGGGGGAATCCCAAAAGCTATGCTCGACGCCGGGGAAAAAAATAAATAAAAAAATAAAAAAATTGTCGCTACGGAGATGACCCCAGGTTGCTCCCTAGCAGAGCAATCGGACGACTGAAAACCAACCCGATGTGATCGAATGCAAGCCGCCAAAGTAGGTTGATGCTGGCTCCTGAGATGTGTTTTGCTATTCAGTTCTTTTTTCTTCCTCTTTTCCTT